CTTCTCACTTTTTCTTTTTTTTTTTTTTTTTTTTTTTTTTTTTTTTTTTTTTTTTTTTTTTTTTTTTTTTTTTTTTATTTTTTTTTTTTTTTTCTTTTTTTTTTTTTTTTTTCTTATAGATGCATTTCTACAGAAATACCAAATCCCCACATGGGGGAAAACACATGCAGGGAAAGGAACAGGGACAGAGGAAAAGACGGAGAGGGAGAGGGCCAGCGTGGCCTCCCTGCTGCAGCAGCTCAGCACACACAARGGTCTCGTGGATCCGCGGGCACCCCGAATCTCATAGTTCACTGCGTTGTGCTCCCCATGGGGAAGAGCATCTGTCCCRGCAGGCTGCTCCATGTGCCCGTGCCGAGAGGGAGGAATGGCCCTTCCTGCCCAAGGAAGGCCGGCGCGTGGAAGGAATCGGGCCTACGGCYGCCCGCTCCGGCCTGCTCGCGCATCATGGGCCCTGCGCCGGCCCGGCGTCGGCATCGCCCAGGGTCAGGCCCAACGAGAGGCTTTTGCTGAGTGTTAGCCTGAAATGCAAGACCTGCTTCCAGTCCTCCCCTCTCCCTCTCTTTCAGAGGAAAAGACAGTGACTGGAGAGAACGATATCAAAATAAACCTAAAAATAGGGCTAGCACAAGAGATTCACTAGTCACGGGGCCTGTTAAATAACCCGGGCCTTGATGTCTGTATCTTGCYGCTAATTAAAGAAATCTCTGAAAAGAACAAATCTCTTTTACTGGACTAGTAATTACCCTCTCTCACACACAAAAAAAAGCTTTGCTTCACCACCACACGCAGGAAAGCAGCAGGACCGACTCTTCCATACTGCATTTCTTTCACACCGCATTTCTTGCACACCGCATTTCTTGCACACCACATTTCTTTAGCTCAATAGGAGGTAAGGAAGAAGCTCTGGCTCTGCCTTTCCCCTCTCAGCTCCCTCGGCAGGTGCCGAAGCTCCGGCAGGCGACATGGTCTCCGCTTCCGCCTGCTCAGGGGAGGCAGCTCTTAAGACAGAGCTAATGATGGGTGACAAGCAAAATGCCTTGAGGCACACATGGAAAAAGGAAAGGAAAAAGGCAAAGAAAGAGCCACTCCCCACAAGCAGCCTAAATAAAATGTCTTAAAAAGAAAAAAGGAGGATTTTTATAGAGCCTTGCTAAAGACTCCACCATACAGGCCTATGCTGGTGCTAAAGGTGAAAGGASAGATGTTTTCCAAGAAATAATCTTACCTGATGCCTCATATACTTCTCAATACAAAGTTTGATCMTAGTCTCCAGCCAATGACACTAATTTGTGCACCTACCCCTGTCCTGCACTGATGTGAAGCATGATCATCTCCTTTATTTTCACTCACTATGTCCTATGATTAACGAGGTGGTTTAGGAAAAGAGTTAAGTGCAAAAAGGTTTTAATGCAGTCTCACTGACCTCAAAGAAAAACTTTAATAAAAACTTATTAAATATTTCATGAGCAGCTTCCTCCCCCCAAAAAAGCAATCTTTCCCACTGACTTTGCTGGATATAATACAACAACCAGTAATAAATCTACCTGTGGGTGTTTCCACAACCAAATAGGACACAGACTATCATTCCTTTGTTATAAGGTGACCTTAACCTCACTAAACATGAGCCTTCAAAAATAAATACATTTTTAAAAGCATTGCAAACAAKCATACTTCTGTGGGGCATCGGTTTTTCATTATGAAGGTGCTCAGACGGGAGCATACATCAGCCCTCTTTGGTATGCAGAGCTCATGCAACATGATACAAGTCTCAGTGGAAGTTAAAAGAATAATTACCATTATTTCTCTAGTCAGATGACAAATTGGAACATTTTCGCTTTGAACTCTTGAAAGAACATCATGTTGTAGACCCAAAATGCTACTTGATCTAACTTCAGCTATTACCAATAACTCATCTCTTCAATTACACAAGCGTTACAGATAATATTGTCCTCAGAAGCTACAGAGGGAACAAGCATCCATAACACAAGAAGATTGGTTTAGGTATAATCCAAAAGAGAGAGGCACAACTCCCACCATGTTTTAGCTGACCTGGGAGACAGATACAGCAGAAGAAAACTATTCTAACCTTTACCAGCCTTTACCTCCTCTCTCATATTCCAAAAACTATATAAAGTTGATAAATATAGTAAATCCATTAATAATTTTATTCTCATTTCCAGCTTCTGACCTTGGCTGGATCAATCGACAAATGGATGGATGAAACATCAATGCTATGGGCACAGAAATCCTTCCTGATATAAAGTGTTATTTCATAAGCTCAAAGTTGTAGCCAGTTTTCCTTTTAATGCAGCTTGGCTAACATCCTTCAAAGGTTTATAAAGAGTGATTCATGTTCCTCTCAAATCCAGGACAGATTTTCTGCAAAGTCCACATTGAGGCCCCCAATCATGTTTCCCTTGTGCTAGTTGTTCCTCCATTGGCTGACTTCTGAAAATGTTGGCAATGATAGTGCAGAAATAAAACATGGAAGATAGATGAGGGTGGCCAAAACACCCATTTACTTCTTGGCATTTACAGAGTGAGAATAATATTCTGGCTCTGTTGACTCTAATAGTGAAACTCCCAGCAGTGCTTTAGCATAAAAAGTTGGGGCTGATGTTTTGTGACTAGAAGGTCTAGAGCTCATGCTCGAGCTCAGTGTTTGTCATGTCTCTTAACTAACTCAAAGTTTCATTCTCTAGTTCATATATCAGAATAACACCCACCCTAGAGAACATATATTATTGAAATTCAATATCAGACAGACTGGTTATAGCTTGAAACTTTATCATTTTAGCCCTGGGCTTTAGAGAAAAACTTATTTGAGTTTTCCTGACTTAAAAATACACATTATGAGTTTTTTAATATATTTTTTAATTAACTCCTCTTCTCCTTTCTTCCTTCACAGCTACACTAAATCATTCCAACTACAAGCTTTTTTTTTCAGTATCAAGCCAAGAAAAGATGATTATGAAGTTTCAGAATTCATGCCTTCTCCTCGGAGTTCAATGCTGCTTTTGATTTGTGAACCTGAAAAAAGTTTGTAGCAGAGGAGTTAGAGACCCACTCAGTTGTGTCAACTGCTGTGTAATCTGCCTGATTTTGCTCCTATCTGGTGGTTTTCCACAGCAACTTATGTTGGTTTTAGCACTGGTCACTGCAGTCCTATTCACCTCTTTCTCCTCCTTCTAACCCCTCTCTTCCAAGCACCCCTCCCTGTCTAGCCGTTGAAACAGCACCAGTGTTCATGCAACTATGCAGTAAGAGCACCCAGGCTGTTAGGCTGATTTTCTTTTCCTATAGACTTTTTCTGATATCAGCTCTCTCAACCATACAAGGAGCACTGCCACTACAAAACACCAGAAGACTGCTGCAGCCCAAGCTTTTATTTTCTGCCTAAGAAATGAGTGTACTCTCAGGTTCAGAGTGCCAGGGTTAGAAAAAGAGCAGAAAAAACAGTATAACTTACACGTTAGTGGTGAAGACACCATAGATCAGGTCTTGCTCAGGAAGGTAGAAGGTGCTTTGCAATTCATTATAATAGAAAGGGATTTCTCCAGCCCGGGAGCAGTTCAGTCTGGCCTTCATAAAAGTTGTCCATGTGTCCTCCAGCAAAAATCTGCCCCCGATGTCATTTTTGCAAACTCGAGCCACGCGAGAATAAACTGTTTTCCCACAGTCATGTTCTACCGCGTTCTCACGGAAAAAGAAGTAGGTGAACAAACCAAYGTCGTAGGCAGCAATAAAATTAGGCTCTGAAAAAGAAACATGTGAAGAGATTTATACAGGTCAGAAATCAATCCACGCTCACTGGCTCACCAAACACATTGCACCACCAGCTCCCTTTCCAGAGGCTTTGAAAGCTGGGACCAGAGGGAGTTCTCAGTCAGCACAGGACATGCAAACAGTAGACCAGAATAATGATACATGGCGATATTACCTCTAGTTCCATTTTTCATATCTTGGAAAGATCCCATCATTTTCCCAATTCAATGGCAAAGCTACCACTAACTTYAGTGGAAGCAGAGTTCAACACTTTGCATATGTATGATTATTATCTGTATCTATACTCACTTTACAACACAAAGCCTTCCTGTTGGGGTCCTCCACCTCCTGGCTTCTGAAATGCGCCTTATGTTGTGTTAAATATGCTGCTTGCATCCATCTGCCCAATTCCCTCGACTGCTATATTAAAACATTATAACTTATAACATAACTTATTCTCCTAGCACAATCACATCTGGCTTTTATCACAAAGCTTTTCCAGTTTCTAGGCACAAAAGATTATCTTCTGTCCATAAAACAAAACCACACTACAAACTAACAGTATCAAAGCAGGTTCTCCTTAATTCTTTCTCTCCTAGAATTGTTATTATTTTCACAAGAATTGAAAAGAACCTGGAATTGGTTTGAAGTGAATATTTTAATTGGGTATTACACAAGGTTTTAAAGTGTCTTTCATACYGACAGTTTCTTTGGCAAAGCGAATAGATTGGCCAGTGAAGAATATTCGACTAAACAGCAACAACAAAAAAAGCTGTTGGTTTTATAGGCTGCTTTTATGATGTTCACTTCTGAGTAATGCTCAAAGCAAGAAGAAAAAAAAAATTCCTTTAATGCTGCAACCTCAGAGTGAATGGAGAATAGAGTCCGGTGGAGGGAGGAGGAAAATCAGATGCTGCTGCTGTTGCAAGGCAGTTTTAGGAGGCAGAGCATGATACACAGGGGAAAGGGCACTGCAAAGCACCTCCCGTCAAACTTCTACTTATGAACAAATTGCAAACCTTRAGGGGACTGTAGTGATTGCTAGTCTGACCTCCTGTGTAGCACAGAGCAGAGAATTTCACCCCATAATTCCACTGCCCAATCCTGTAACTAACAGCTGAATTAGACCATATCTTTTAAAGGAGACCTAGTATTACCAGATAACTTCACGTGATCTCAAACCCATCACTTTCCTCAGAGACTTGCTTTAGTGACTAAAGACCTCTCTGGTAGCAACCTGTACTTCTATTTCCACTTCACATTAGCTGGTTTCAGCTTCCAATCACAAGTTCTTGTTATGGCTTGTCTGCTAGATTAAAGAACTTTAGCCTRCCAGAGATCTTCTCCTGATGTCTTTCCATATCACGAACAAATCATCTTTTATCTCCTTTTCAGGAAGATAAATAAATTGAGCTCCTTATGTCTCTCAGAGTGGGGCAGGCTTTCCAAACTTCAAATCACTCTATGGCTCTTTTCTGAACCATCTTCAAGTTTTCTGCTTACTGTTGGAAAATGGTCATCAAAACAGGACAAAATATTGCCATGTCACTAATACTGGACACGGTTATAAATCCAAGAATCAYATTAGCTCTTCTGACCAGAGACTAGAAATTCATTTTCTGTGCATCTTCTTTAAACTCCCCTGTTCCAATTTGACTTCCTTCTGGATTCATCATTCTCGTGCAGACAATAGGCACAYATTTTTAATGACTGCATAGAAGTTGTGCTGCTTCTTACTTCTATCTTCACATTCTTGCCTGATGACATCCTTCTCTTACACCTCCTGCTCTCCATGCTGACTTCAGTCTCTGTACAACTGCTGCTGAAACCCAGTTCAGYCTCCTTCAGCTTCCACTGCTCAGACATTTGACTGAGAGGTCAGGAAAGCCAGTGAAAAGATTCCAAATATTTGGCCAATTTACTTGGGCGAAGGGAGAGGGGGGAACTATGGGGTTCCCATCACTACACTCTGTCCAGTCAAGATGTGCTTTGCCTCAGCCAGAAGATGGGGACTCCATGCAGGAATTACTGGGTGAAATTCTATAGCTTGCTTGATGCAGGGTATTATCACACTGGGTAACAGCTGCTTCTAATAGCCATAAATCTGCAAGAGTAGGGCTTTGCACGAACGTAACTCACTCTGAAATACATTATTTGGGGACTTATCTTGCATTGATAACAGCCATCCTCAGCAGATGGAAGTAGAGGGTGCTCAGCACTGTACAGAACTGAGTCAGCAATATGATGCTCTATTTCAGTTGGATCTTCAAGTCTGTGAGCAGTTTTCTTGTTAAAATGATGTACTTGGTCATCTCGCAAGACAGAGACCTATATATATGTTAAGCAGTCTGCCAGACTCCCTTTCCATATTCAAAATCTACTACTCTGAAATCCTTCCGGGCTATTTTTAAACTACTTCTAAGCTGCATTGACTGCTGCACCGGAAACCCTTCCCCATCATAACTCTGGATTCCAATGCAAAAACACAGGGAAAGATTTGCAAGGCTGCCAAGTTGCCTTCAAGACACCTCTTGCTCAGATACGACCCACATGACTTTACCATTGAGCCATTTGGAGTTGTACTGTGCTGTCCTAAGTGGGGGAACATTTCCAAGGCTGCGGTAAATCGCAGGATCCCGTCCAGAGAAATCAATTACAGTTGCAGCATAGAGCTCTCCTCGTGATGTAATCACAGCTGTCGAGTTATGACGGGGGTCGTACGGGCACCGAGCCACTCCATTAATTCTGTCAATGATTTTGCTAAGATTTCCTACCTGTATTGAAAAGGAGAGAGGGGAGAAGGTAAAGATCAGCTTGGCTTCCTTACTAGCGCAGAGAATTCAGCTTGCCCAGGAGTACCTAAAACTAAAGCCCTGATTTTAAAAAACTAGGCAGCTATAAGAAAGTAACACCCAGGATGATTGTAAACTGATCATTACATTGATCATGTGCCAATGAAGGAAGCTGTGCCTGAGGCTCACTCATCCTGTGGCTTTGTAAGGAAGGTAATCCCCTCACTCCCAGCAAAGCCTGTAGGATCCAACACACTCAGTGAAATCAACTGCTCCTGCTGCTAGCACAGGTTTCCAATCTTCCACAGATGCTTTCTGAATGTGTATTGCTATAAAAAAATAACAATAAGCATCGTTCTGGACTTCCTCCTGTCTCCCTTGAAGCCAGGGGGAGTTTTGACATTTATTTTGAAGGAAGCATCTAAGTATTCAGCTCAGGAAAAGCTCACAGCTAAACTGTTCCCCATTTTCAACAAGACAGCCAAGGTTACACGAGCAGCACTTTGTCCWCATGCAGCTCATCTGTAACAGGGTTTTGGCTCCCCGCCCTGCACACCCACTGTCCCCAAAGGGCCCAGGGAGAAAGGCCAAGACAAGTGCAGAGCGGCTTCCTTCAGCAGACACGCTGTGCCCAAGGTGCCCTGCCAAAGGGCACATCCAGCCCTCCTCCTCCTCCCTCGCCATCCCCACGGAAGAGGCAAAGCAGACCTGTCGGCTGGAACACACGGGCGAGAAGGCATTGGTGCCACAGGTGAACACCTTCTTGCCATAGACGATCAGCACCCGCACATAGTTCTGGCACTCTTCCTGCAGGGACACAAGACAGAGGCTCCTTAGCGTGGGGTGACTCATTACACAAAGACACATGTACCTGCATGAGGCCTAACCAGGACCTCTTCCTGTGATCCACTTCCTTTGGAGCGGGAATCCTCCCTCTCTTGACGAGCACAGTCCTGACCTATTTTTCCCAGGAATGTTGCAGCGTTGATCACRTTACTCAGACACAAGCCCGGTGTAGGATACAGGTGAGAGGCTCTGCTTGCACCAGTGCTTCGTATTGGTGCCAGCAGGAAAACAAGGAGGGATTTTGGCTTTACCAACCACGCTGTTCACAAGAATCACTTTCTTGCACAGCTTCCTGCTCCCTGACTCCCACAAGGATCGTGCGCTCAGGAATCTTCCACAGTGGAAGGACTTCCAGGGTATCAGATCCCCGTCTTTTCTACCACACGGCCATGCAGCAGGTGCCACCAGCCTCAACTCACAGCAGGGACATCGGGGATCAGCCTGGCACCCGGGAAATGGACCTTAAACCCATAGCTGGGTCGGTCCTGCTCTTCATATTTCAGAAGCACATCAGTCATGGCTTTGTGCCCCACACTATCAAACAGGACCTTGAGAAATAGGTCCCGTTTGCTGCGTGCTGAGATCGGAGGCTTCCTTTGTCAAGACAAAGGGCTGCCAGGCTCTCCTTAGTGGTTCCGCTGTGCCATGTGCCTACGTACTCCTCATCCCCTGCCCAAGGGATGTCTGCATTTCATGAGTGGGTGAAGTAATTCCAGTTTCTGCACATCACAGTTATTCAGTAATTACACAGTATTGGACCACAAAAATATTTAACTGCCAAAGACCAGAAAATCTTGAGATGATGCTGAGGAGAAAAAGGCTCCTCTCCCTTCAAAGTTTTCTCCTCAGGATGAGACTAAGATCTGGCATCTGCGCTCCAAATTCCCCACAATAAAACAGTACTTGCCTGTTCCTCCAACATTGTGCAGAGTCTGAAGTCATCACCTGACCCAAACCAGCTAACAGCATTTACATTGCTGGATTCTTTTCTGCAGAGGAACTTCCATTTTTTTTACTAAATAAAATCCTGCTCTGCAGCAATCTAAAATTCTGATTTGCAGAATGCTTTTCTTTGCACAGAACTCTATTACAGAGTCCCAGGCTTTTATTTTTAAAAGCATCCTCTCAGCTGAGCAAACAGCACACAAAAATAGTTTGTCCACAAGGCTATGCTGGATGGTCTTTAGAGCCTGCAGGCAGCAGTGCATCTGCTGCAGGGTCTGTTACACAGCCCAGCAGCCTGGGTTGATAAAGATGCTGAAAGGTGGTAAATTGTTGCAAACCTTGTCTAATTATGCATGGCTTTATTTATACCCATTCAGTCAAAAGCAGAGCTTATTTATTGCAACAGAAGATATTATACTGAGCAAGATCCTACCTACTACTGTCTAATCTGGTACCAGATTATTTCACCTGTGACTTCCAGCCTATTGCCGACTGCGTTGGCAAAGAGCACGGTCAGGATGGAGGGTAGGTTGGACAGAGACATTTCATAGCTGATGCTTTTCACACCATGGGATGCACCAAGCCCACTAATTATTTCACCAAAAAAGGGAACCCAGCAGATCCCTACACTGCCCAGGTAGCGATGCTGCCAGGTGTGAGCCATAGCCAGCCAGAGGTATCCCTAGGAACTAACTGCATAGGGCCTGAGTAGGTCCTTCACTCTCCCTGTCCTTCTAATGATGGGAAGAGCACTGCACACTGCTGGGAGGAGAACAATGACAACGTGTTCTTCCCATCCACGAGCCTCCAAGCAATTTGCACAGCATTAACTAACGCTCTGAAAYCGATGTGCATTATTTTCCCTTTCTTCTCAGCTGGCTAAATGGGAACACAAAAGGGCAAAAGGATTTGCCATGGTGACACACTGAGTCAGAGGAGATCCTGAAAGAGCAAAGTGGAGATTTATCTTCCAGTCCCTGCCTCTCTAACCCGCCAGGCCTTAGGAGAATTCCTGTGCTCACCGGCGTTGGTCACTGCTCTATCAGTGAGCTCAGCCTATGAAAGCCCCCAACAAAAGCAAAGGAAGAAGCTGAACCACTTCAATGCTCCAACTTGCAGGATTTTTCTTGAGACACCATTGGTAAGATTTATGTTGGATCCTTTTTCTACCCCACTCTCACAATAACTAGAGAGGAAGAGTTTCCTCTCTATGTTCCTGAAACCAGCCTGAGTTTGCTCTGAAAGTCACTCAACATGCTGCTATCTACAGCAATTTGTAGCTGAGACAACTGGTTATTAATGTGATCTCCCAARCACTTACCTAAATAGGAGCTATTTAATGCAGCTTCTTATGTTTGGTTGGAAAACATCAACTGTGCAAGATGAAAATCCAGTGGGATTTTAATAAGATTGGAAAATTTGGCAAACTTGATCTCCAACTCTGTCCAGACGAGACGATATTTGGATCCTGCTCTCAAATTATGGAGCAGACAGTTAAATCTGTACATGATCAGTCTGTAGATCTCATTACCAGAAGATATTATGGGGATCAAGAAACTGAGGATGTAAATAAAGGAAGAAGACTGGATATTTATATGGTTAATGAGAATAACCCAGTTATATTAGCTGGGATTACTATTAAATTTATGGCAGATCTGATAAATTCTATGGCTCACTGCCAGAGCACTAAGCATATCTCGGATTTTCTCATGAATTCCATGTTCCCACTTCGGGATTCTTGCTCCTTCCTCAGAATTACTGTTTTTAACTCCTTTTTGGAGATAAGGCCTTAATTTTAATAGACCTTGTTTTCCTCAAAGGCAAGAGAACATGGCTTCTAATGTTCAGGTCCATAGGGCACAGGGTCTCAYGGTAACTAAGAGAATAAACTTTACTGAAGTTCATCCTCTCCAGGATTTTACAGTTTTGAAGCCTATTCTGGTTTATATCACCTTTTTTGTACCATTTAGCATTAAATGTGTTTRCTCTGTGAAAGGTGCAATGCCCACTACAGCGCCGAAGAGCAGAGCTCCTTCCAGCACATGTGGATGTCAGGCTGCTTTGAAAGCTCATTTCAAGCCCCAAAATGAAGCACGGTGCCCTGTTACTCCCTTTGTGTGGACAGAGCAGCAAATGGAGGGGCTGAACTCCCACTGGCTCTGGTTTAAGGTAAAATTCAAAAAATCACTTTCAGGATACTGAGAATAAGCCAGCTGTAGGTGCTTCTCGAGTCATTTCATCTGTCATCTCTGAACATGGGAGCTCTGAGATGTTCTAGGCCATTAATCTCATTGTACAGATGTATTTTGCTTTGAAAAGTCTAACTGAATATAGGCACTGCTCTAATTGGCCTTTACTTTGGATAAAGCACTAAAGCTGCTTCTGGAAATCTCCCTCTTAATTCTGCTATTTTGTTTTTTGTTTTAGATAACACTCTTTCATCATGTATCAAGATATTTTACTCACAGATTAAAAATGCACTTCTATGCTGTATCAGGAAAACAGATGTTTTTAGATGGTCCATTGTCCCCAGCAAAGAAATGCACGCTCCTCAGAGGAAGAGAATTCATTTAGGGTTTAGGCCAAGGCTGGAGAGAGGAGAAATGGGATGAAACCTGGCAAATACATAGTAATGACMTTCCTGTGGGGCTGTAGCATAATGAAAATAGTTTTACACAACATGTGATTAATCTACAGAACTCCCTGTCAGGTGTTCACCGAGGCCAGAGCAAAGTAAGATAAAACAGGCAGATGGGAATGTATATGGAGGACATCTAGAGTTGAAGCAGTGAGTTTTATTTAAGAACCATGAAGATGTAGTGAACGGTGACCCCAAGCCTTCCTGTCCTTTCCCAGCTATGTATCAGCAGAGGCAGAGTGTCACCTCTCCTTGCAGACCTGGCTCATCTGCTACATTCAGCTCCTCCTGGCTACACCAACACTGCCATAAAAAATCCAGGCATTGAAGACACTCAGCCACGGGGTCCTCTGGTCCATTTAGTTGGACTTTCTACCTGCGCCACCCATCCAAAAAGCCTCTTCTCATAAAACTGGGTACATTGGCTATGAATTATAGCCTGCAGTGCAGGGAACTAACCAGCAGAACTTCATGCAAACACATCATTTTTTTAGTGTGCAGCAAATATTCAATTTATTTGCTGCTGTTTATGCCAATTTGTTAAAAAAGTTCACCTTGCATGTTCTTCAGTAGTGTTATTAACATGCTCTCAGATATTTATATTTATTTCTTTGGGCAAACAATTCCATTAATCAGCTTAAGCCAATACCCTGACAAAGCTATCTTTCTCCTTGGAGTGCAATAGATAGCAAAGAGAATTGCTAATGATTTTCCCAGCCAAGTTTTCTTTAATGGACTTTGGATCAAATCTGGGGGCTGCTTCTGCATTGACAGCTTAGCAGAAAAACTAGAAATGTAGGATGAGAACTCAAGAAACAGTTATAAAGGGGAGAAAAAGCCAGAGAGCCTTCCAGGTAGAGCTACCTGCTTGGGGATTTATATGGTGTCCATCGTACCCAGATGCCTGTTACTTGTAAGGCTTGGAGATGCCCTGTTGCCCAGAGGCCCAAGGGAACAGCCCCTGTTTGGTGCATACTCACTTGAAGGCCTCAAAGGGAAGATTCTTCCATTAGCCTAGAGATCTCTGCACCATACCCAGCTAGCCAGGCTTGAGCCTTAAACCCAGCTTAAGCCTTGGGCTAAGATTTCTTTGTAACCTCATGTGACCCATAAGCACTCCTTGAATGAGGACATCACCTAACAGCAAGAAGAAACTACTCTGGCAACACACTGGGACGGCCAGTAGCCAGAGTGCTTAAGAGCCATCTCCCCTGGTCGTCTTTCCTACTCCAGAACCATTATATGGCACCATCCTTCTTGCTCCTGCACTACCGAGCTCTTCACAAGTCAAGCTCTTCTGCCAGCACGTTGCAGACCTGCATCACTGCCATTTGCACCAGTGGCTCCCATTCATTCTTTGAAATGACAACGTGTGGAATCRGAAAATTATCGAATAATTCTATGCTCAGCCAAGGCAAAGACCAAAGTGCTCATGCTTAGAAAGCCCCAACTCTCTGGATCAGGCAAAATTCCTTAGGTGTGGTAGCTATGGACTGCTATGCGGAGACAAACCGATTAAAAACTCCAAGTTGAGCTACTTCTAATGAAATTACATATATTTTGACCTTGTGGGGCCTCTTCCCCTGCCATTCTATCAGTTACTCATTTTAGCTGCACCCTCCAGGTGTCATCACTTTGAAGACAGAAAGAACAGCAGGATGACACTGGTTTTGTTCTCTGCATTGTCTACCAGGAAAGTGGGAGTCTTCAGGGGAGGATTTTAAGGTACTGATTAGGAAACGGGGACTCAATAATTAAATGCTGCAAAAATATGAATAATAAATAATGGAAGCCAGCATGGATCTACAGAGACATGGAAAATTAGAGCAGATATAATTCTTGGGGGAATTCTCAAGTTTTGGTTGATAAAAGTAACAATATAAATGAAAGAGATTTTTTTCTGAGGTGTTTAAATMCACAGGACATACTACAGAGAGTTAATTTTAAAATTAAGATTACAAACATATACATTAAATGGATTAAAATCTGATATATAACTGGTCCAAAAAAAAAAAAAAAAGCCATCAGAGAATAATTTTTCACAAGCTTGAGTTTCTAGCAGGGATGTAGAAGGGATGTTACCAATCCAGTAGCAACATTTTCTCTGTCACAGCTAACAAACATTTGTGGATAAATCAAAGATTATGAAAAGGACAATTAACAATGAGGCCAAAACAGTGATATATGCTAGCCTGCTGGGTGAGCTGGGCCCAACAAAATACATTTTTGTAGGCTATTATACATTAAAGAGCAAAGAACAAAAGACCTCTATGTATAGGCTGGGGGATTAGATCCTGAAACTAGCATCTGTGAAAAGGATTTAGTGGTTATACTGGTTAGGCAATTCTGCATGACCTCTTACAACAGAAGAGCTTATGAAACTGCTAGGTATATGAACAGGGACGGGTGAATAACGGTGGAAAATTATTTTAATCACATTCAGGCATTAGAGAGATTGACAAGGGAATACAAGTGAAATACTGGAGTTTGCAGAAAAAYGGACAGTAAAAATATTCAAGGATGGTAGAAAAATTACTTAGAGCAAGAGGCTTGAAGAATTCATCTTTTTAGTTTACCCAACAAGCATAAAAACTGACTTAAGAAGAATAGCAAGAAAAATAAATATTGCTAACTGAAGGTCTCTTTAGCCCAAGCAGAGAAGGGCACAGTGAGACCCAGCCAGTGAAGCTGAAGCCAGAGTCAAACCAGAAATAAAGCGCTTGTTGCCAGCAGTGAAGGTGACCAGTCATGAGGACAAGCTGGCAAAGGCCRCAGTGGGATGCCCGTTGCTTGAAGCCTTTCTGCCTTCCTGGACACGGTGCAATAGTCAAACACAAGTTGCTGAGTTCAATTTAAGAATGAGTAGGTGAAATTTATGGCCAGAGTTACATAAGGTGTCAGAAGGAATATCCTCATGGTACATACTGGGTTTAAATCTGGCACTCATATATTTCATCTCTCTTTTCTGCAGCTGGTGGTTGGTCAGATGTGGAGTAATCATCATGCCACACTAACTGTATTTCTGATACTGAATATGAATATTTTTTTGTGGCTTTAACTCTTGCACTATTTATTTTCCTTATGGTAAAACTCTATGCGTTTTAGGAAGAGGTTTYTCTCACTCTAAAAATACATGTATTATTAAATGGGCATGGAAAATGGATCAGTCATATAACTTACACAAACTACAGTGTGAATTAATGTAGGAGCCAAAGGTCCTCCTTATTTCTAGCCTCCATCACCACATATCTAAGTGCCTGACAATCCATAACACGTTCATCATCAAATCMCCTGTGCAAGGTAGAAAGCTGCCGTTAGTCAAGTTCTGACAACGCAGAGCGGAGGCAGACGAAGCTCTGGCTCCTGCTCCACCACCGCGCAGCAGGAACAGAACCAGGCGTGTTCCTGCCTTCCTCACCTGAGGCATAACCAGGGCCTGGTTTTGCAGGGCCTGTAACTCAGGCCTATAACTCTTGCCCAGCCCTGGGCAGGAGACCGGGCCACGTCTGGACTTACCAGCTGCAGTAAAGCTCTTCACCAGCTGGCTAAGCTCTTTATGTTTGCAGCTAATCCCCAAGTTTAGCTTTCTGTGGACTTCTCAACTGTGATTTCTCCATGGCTTCTCACAGGTTAGCGGAGACAACGACTTGGAAGATCTGAGTTTACTTAACCGTTGTAGAAGTTTCCTGACTTTCTGTTTAGTTCCGTGTCCTCCTGTGAGATTTTTAGACAGTACTTCTATTTGTCATTAATTGTACATCAAGAAATCTCTAAAAGTCATCTGATTAATTATTGTTCCTCAGAACTGCACACCCAGGCTACGGAACAATTTTAAGTGCTGGATCACAACGAGCATAAACTCAGCTGTTCAGGGCATTTTCCTCATTTTCCTCATGGCAAACTCCTTGCAATGCGAGGAAGCAGCCGCAGGAAAGATGCTCAGGCCATCGCCTTCCTTTGGCTTGACAATAGAAAAGATAAATCGAAATTATCCTAGCATATATTCAGCTAAGTGTGTGGAATCTCATGGAGGGTTTTATCTGGGGGTTGACAAAATAATTTCGGGTTATAAATTCAAATACTTTATGAACAATGGAATACAAAGTCTTAAAAACTTTACAGTGGAAGAAAAGAGCAAAACCCTTTCTTTGTAGTAGACTAAAATTTCAAAGTACAGAAGAAATTGCCAGTGTCATGGGTTTTGGAGCTTTGGAATTCTGTCCATCTTCAGTTGGGTCCTTCTTCAAGTGGCTGGTCATGTTTGGTGTTTGCCTAATCTAACYCATTTCACCTGGGAGGATCCATGGTGCCTTCCTGCATAACACAGTCCTATGCAAACCTCTGATAGATATTCTAGGATACCTTAGGAGATCTCTACTCCTGTTCTCCCCAAATACATGAAGCCCACTGCTGTCCATCCAGCAAAATTCAAGCTAGTGTGTTTTTATGTCTATAGAAGTTAAATCATTATATAAAATGAACAAAGTTCATGGAAGATCATAAAGTCATGTCTAAAGCACYGACCTGGACTTCAAAAGAACTTTGTCATTTTGGGACAATTACTCTGTGCTTGACAGTCCATGTCTACAGCGACAACAGTGCTCAGCCTCTCTTACCCTTGGGGTAGACCTCAGTCTACCAGGCAGTACCCATGTTGCTACAGATGTGGTGACAGGGGAAAAAATTGAAGATTTACAAGCCCAAGCTGGTGCTAGTCACTCCCTGCACAGGTTCCTAAGGGGATGATGCCAATTCACCCAGAGTGTATTTTTGCTGCAAAGCAAAACTTACCTCAGTTTTTCCTTTACTCTGACAGGACCGCCTGGTGTCTTCGTCTGAACCCCATGCTGTTGCCTGAGAAAGCAAAAGGCACAAGTCACACGATAGTGCAGTGAACAACCACACCTGGAGACTCCCRAAGCAGGAGCAAGAATCTCCAGCCAATTTATGCAGCCCAATTTACAACCACATCGTGACAGTAAATATATCTCACTCCTGCTGTGCTCACAGTGCACACAAGTCATAAACAGATGAAATGTCCAGAAGCAGAAATAACTAGAATGTTAACAGAGAACAGACTTTAATTTACTTGGAAATACAATTTCTGATCATCATTCGGCTGGAAGGGTCCAAGACATGAACCCCRCAGGCCAATCCCTGCCTTTTTCAAAGGGACAGGGCTGTGAAGCTCTCAGCAAGGCAAAAGCCTTCCTGAGGGCAAAGCCTGCAATTTCTGCATACATATGCTAGTCTCCTTAAAATCATTCCCAAAGCTATCACCTCCAAGAAATTAAGCAGAAAAGTGAGCAGGACCAAACGAGAACTGGGAGCTGAAAGGCATAACCCTGAAAGAGAAGTAGCCAAGAGGAAGGGACAGCAATTTGTGTCACTACATATGCGAGGTCAGATCCTGAGGTGGAGTAAAACGCAGACAAGGCAACTTGGAGACACTACTGACCAGGCAGCGAGGCCTGGACCAAGACCACTCTGACTCCTTCAGAGCAGAGACCCCTTCCTGCACAAGAAAAGSCAAACCAGCAAAGCTTCATTAGAGAGAACTCCTGGATTTAAAATCCTCAGCAAATCTACCCAACCATTCAGTGCCCTCTGCAATTTTCCTTCCTTCAGCACTTTTTAAAAATAGTGGTAACGAATTSAAGTAGGTATTGTTAGCTGGAGGTGAAAATACATATAAACATCAACACTATACATAATACATCATTCTGAGTGCAAGAAAAATAGCTCTACTACATACGTAAAGGCCAGGCTTGCAAGTTAAGATATAGACCCCAAACTGCTTTAAAATCTACGATTTTTTTTTCAAACTTTTACCCACACAGGAAATAGCTTTAAAGTTCGGTCCGGATCTGAACTTCTCTTGAACTTTCTTACTGCAGCCAAGATAGTTTTTTAAAATTGGACTTCCATAAAAATTGTCCCCTTGATACATGATAAATCCTGTTTGCTGCAGTAGGAAGRTGGTAGTCCAGAAAGAAGACGGGATGAACTTCCCTGCTATTGAGCTGCCAGCAGTACCACCTCCCAGGAAAGCCATTTCCATTCAAACATTTGCGGGAGGGATATTGGTACCTGGCTTTGAAAAAACTTATCTTGCCTATTTTCAGTTGAGCATTCAGCTCAGTTTGGCTTGCAGTAAGACCTTAGGAGCAAATGAAAAGCTCTGGTGGGAGAAGAGAACAGCAGAGATCCTTCTGTGGGAGTTGCCTGGGAAATCTCTCCCATGTACTACAGGCCAATCCAGGCTGAAGGCCAAAAGCTTGTGCCTCAGAAGTGCTTTTGTGAGAGCTGGGATAAGGCTTCCCTGGAAAGGATCAAGGATCACACTTCAGCCATATCCTGAGAGGGGATATATCATGGGAAGAGAAAGATCAATCTGATAAACCATTACAGTAGAGTGGGAATTCTGCCTGGTGACTCCCAGGGATCCTCAACATCTGCAGAATTACTACTCAGTCCAATTCTGGCCCATAGTCATCTAGCCACAGTATTCTCAGTCCTTGGATCAAATTTTGACAAGATTAATACAAAACAAACAAGCAAACACTTAATTAGAGCCTGAAGTGGCTCTTCTTTCCATCTCAGAAATAGGAACACAGCACTGCTCATTATAGTATTTGAAGGGACAAAACGGACACAAAAGTCATTCCTTACTTCATGGTCTGGGCCTTGTGGGGCTGTAACACCTTAACAGATCAGAACTTGGCCTCCAAGGGGACACCAGCTCCTCCTGCGACACTGCAGTGCCTTCAGGTACATCCCAAACAGCCCATGTCAGAGCCTTCATCCCTCCAGCTACGCTCTTTGTGGCAAAATATTTTCTTTTACTAAACTGGAGTGCCCTTCAGCTCTCTGAAGCTCTATCTTGATGAATCTAGTGATAAGAGAAGTTCCTGGTGATGGCCCAAATTATGGGAACATGTTGTTTGTGACTGCACCATTAGTCAGTGTGCATTTCATTAGTTATGAGGATAATTAAGCAATATAGCATTCTCAAGCATGTTTTATAAGTCCCACGCATGTCTTTAGAAGGGCAGGGAGGTATTAGTTTGAGGACTGAGTAATTTAATGACCTCAATTTACTCAAAGAAAATATTAATGACCCTGCAATGCAGGAAATCTTGTCAATAGCAAAAATAAAACTGCCAGGCCAAGCAGCTTAAATATGTTTAAATAATTGTACTCCAAGGTATCAATATGCATCAGTCAGACAACCTGCAGCCCRGACAAGTCTTTCCATGGGGCTCCAGGAGCTGCACACATCTGCGGCCACAGGCTTTGGGCTGGACCCCATGAGCCAGGCTGGCTCCAAACACCGAGCTTGTGACCTTTGCCTGAGTTTTCTAGTCCTCCTAGGCTTTGTTTGACTAATCAGGTTTCTTTTCAGACTACAACATTGCACTCTTGTCATTCCTTTTACCTCAGGCCTCTTCATCCAAACTCCCTGTGTAAAACGGGTGCTCTGCCCCACGKATGTCATGATACCTCCAACCCAAAGTGCTCCCCACAGATGAAATCTTCCTCTCTCTCAGCCTCATYTTGTCCCAGACCTAAATTGCATCCTGCACACTGCGCAGAGAGGCCTTCAGAAAGATGTCTCTCTTTCTGGAGAACATCAAGTGCCTGAAGCTTGTAGAACTAGTTCAGCTGTTTGTGCCCAGAGTTCTCTCAGGGATGTAGGCAGCTACTTTCTATTCCTTTTTCTGCTGAGAGATGACTCTRCACCCTGATTGAGGTCAAACCAACCCCACATTTTTGCTCACCCTATCAGGCAATCATCCTGAATACATCACTCATTTTTCAGCTGTCKGAGCCATTTAAGTTTCCCAGTTCCAGTAAACTTATCTGGGTTGCAAGTCTGCATGTTCCAATGTCATGCTCAGAYACAGAAAGAGTTAAGGTCTTTTCTAATAAATTATGAGCATCAAAGTTTGCTTAGAGTTCAGACTGCAGATCAAAAGTGGTCGAGAAATTCTAGTCCATCACATGCTGTCAAATCAGTTATTCAGCACACACTGCTGAGAAAAGCTTTCTGGATACATTTATCTAATTACCTGCAYATCTCAAGGTTGGCATCCAAAGTACCTGCCTGTCACCAAGAGGTCTTGTTGTCAATAGTCATGTGCCTCTTTAAATGCTGATGTGGGAGCCTCCTCGACTTCTATGGACTAGATTTCACATTCAGGCCAGTAATTTATAATTACTTCAAACACTGCATATGAATTTGGTTGATTAAGCATATGTTAATCCCTGCATTGTACTTGCACAATGCAGGTGCTGTTTTTTGCTCCAAATCAAAATGTTGTTTTAAAAATGAAAAGTGAGGACTAGAAGAGAATAAGGCTGCATGCATTTTTATCAGGCAAATTACACCCATTTTTAATTTCTAAAGTCTCTTTATTACAATCCTGCCCATCTGTTACCARGCTCACTCCCATTAGATTAATGCTCCATACACACCAGCTACTGGCAGACAGGCTCAGCACCATGCTGTTCTCTTCTACAAGGGGAGAAATGTGTAACACAAAAACTTACATTGTTTATGATTGGAAGTGGCTGAAAGAACAAGGACAGGCTTGCTGAAATAGGAAAGGAAAGGAAAGGAAAGGA